TGAAGCACGTGGCAAGCGACCTCGTTCGTTCCTTCCCTCAGCTGTTATGACATCATCCTAGCGGCACTAAGCCAAAAACGATCAACTCCAGCTCTACGGAGCCTCAATTTTTCCCCTCCTTTCAATCCAATTCACTATCACAGGCTTCAAAGAACACTTCCGAATGTAGAAGGCTCAAAGGTCGTACGACCCGAACCCACGCTTTGGTATGGCGTTCGCAGGTGTGGATCGTTCCAGCGATCGTGCGTGTAGGATTCATACGTGCGCGATACTCAAGACCATATCGGGTCTCATCTGAAAGTAACCGGACGCACGCATTGTCAAGACGACCCATTGGCGTGGCGCATGTTTGAAGCTGCGACTCTCGCTCGCGAAGAAAGCGTGCCCAAGTGCCGTTGCACGAGGCAGACATTTACCCTCTCACCGGACACCAGATAGCATCGCGCAACCCAGCGGATCATCAATCCGCGATCTACAACGCACACCTGCATCTCGCGTCCTCTATCCATGAACACATCATCACAGAACGTCAGATGAGCCCGATAGCCGGTTGGTGGTAAGCGAGCATGCTTCGAGAAAGAGAAAGCGGGGCGCAGCATTGGAGGACCTCCTCGTATCTGCACGCAGTCTAGGAAGGAACGAGCGTGCATGTCTCAGCTTCACTTTGTGCCCCAGGCAGAACGAAGGGGAAAAACAGGCAGAGAGGTAGATTGACATGACACGTTGATCGTTTTGCCTACTTTTGCCTTGTTTTCGATGTGTAGGTTGCGAGGTGGTGGGGAAGTGTTGGTCGCCTTGACGAACACCACCATAAGGACGACAGATAGTACAGCGAGCCAAACCATACTCCTAGCTGAGCAAAACCGAGGCTCTACATTAAGACTGAGACCGAACTCGAGACCGACAGCTTCCGCCCCTACCATCACGCGAAATCGCCGTTGTACATTCCCGAATACATAGCCCCAGCTTACCGATCGCTCCCCCTGTCCACTTTCTCAATTTCCCGCTCTCTACTCCTACCCACCAGTCATCCACCCCCACGTGAGGAAACTAGGCTCGCACTGCAGGACAAGCGCATGTCCGGTGAAGCGAGTCCTTGAAGTTCCTGGATTACTCTTCATTCCCGGATCGGTAGGCGTTGGGAACGCTTCTATGCCTATGGTTGTGTCGTCGGGGTTGTCTTGTCTTGGGGCAAAAGGGGTGCGGGACCGTTGGTATGGGTTACCGCCCGAATGTCGCCGGTGTGTTGGGGCTGTGAGTATGCGAAAAGGAGAGGTTGTGGCTGGGGGCTGTTTGGTAGGTTGTCGGACATGTCAAGATGGGAAGTGAGTAGAGAAGAGTCGACATGCGTATCGCGACAAGGAGATATTGGGCTGGCAAGACAGAAACTGAAAGTAGACTGTTCAAAGACGACGCGCTTTTGATATTCTACTACGGAAATTGTGAACGGCCGTAAAACGTTGCTGTGTGCACCACGTATCCCCAAACGCCCAAACGGGTATCATCTATAGCGACAGTCGTAAAATGCCGTGGTCTTAGTATCCGAAATTTGTTACTCATCGTGTATGTAAAGCAAGTCCCTTTTGAGATATCACAGTGGTTCAGTCTTCTTCTGAGTCCACTTCGCTGTCCGTTTCAGCACTCCTGCGCGGCTTGCCATCACCAATCTTCCATCCTGTACCTTCTCTCGCAATGAGCCCTTCATCAAGAAGATAGCGCTCGAGCCTTGAATCCCTGTGCCACGTAGCAGGGTCGAGCATATCCACGCGACTCTTGTAGTCCTTCTCGAAGTGACGTCCAACATGCTCCATGCGCTCCTCCCAGGATGTAATACCATGGAAGGATCGCTCGCAGAACAAGCAGCTCGAATGTTGTGGGGCATCTCGTAGCTGTAGGTTGCAGCGCACTTGGTGCTCCGAGAGGTTCTCTTCGCAGACGGGGTAATCTTTCTGGGTGCGGCAGGACTTATCTTTCGGAGCTGCGTGCATGCGGCGGAGATGCTGAGTGAACAGATCTTTGCGATTGAAGTCGTTATGGTATAATGTCTGTGGGTCGTTGGAATCGATTGATGGGGTACACAGATCGCAGCGCCAGTAGCCGAGCTTGATGTGCTGGGTGCTGACGTGCCTTTTCCACTCGTTCTTGGAAGAAAAGTTGGACGTGCAGCCATAGCCGGCGAGCGGACACGGGAAAGCTCGACGATCTTCAGCCTGAATGCTCGAATCTGTGATCGCTTTTTGTGTCTTGGACGACCGACGAGGTTTCTTCTCTGATCTGACAGATTCCGTGGGACTTGGAGCATGAGAGTCTCTACGGATCGGCTTGCGGCGCTTCGATGTGCGACCCGAGCTACCGCTTGACGTTGTAGACCTTCTCCGCTTAGACCTTGTCGGACTGTAGTCGGAGTCCGAAGCGGGTTCCTCAGGGAAGTCAACGGGCTCTACAGACTGGGCGTCTCGTACCGAGTGTCCGATACCAGAGTCTGCGTACCTCGTATAATCCGGAGTAGCTTCTTCTTTGACTTCACTGTGATGATGATCAGGGGTAGCTTCTTGTTTCATGACAACATCCTCTACATCTTCAGCCACTGCTTCCGGTACCGGAGGCTCGTACTCTAGCTCGCGAAGGCTGATGTTACGCTCTTCGGCGTGAGATTCGCAGGCGAACGCTCCGCCTTGAAGATACTCAGCTGCCGGGTATGAAATCGGGAGATGAGAGTAGTCCATCGGGCTTCCATATGGGATGCTATGGCACATGTATGGTGACCGAAGCTCGTCCTGGGTGTTTTGACTAGTGTTTCCAGAAGAAGTACGATCCGGTGATGCGTTGCGAAAGCAGTCTGCCGGAGGCCAGTGTTGCTCATATTGCTTCTCGTATCGACCGTCTGGGAACGGGATCTTTGCATAAAGCATGCCTGGCGTAAGGGGGCTTTGCTCGTACAGGAAGCGTTGCATTGGCTGCATGCTGACAATGCCATTGTCGAAATCATCCAGGTAGCTCTCTTCTTCTATATGAAAACGCACTGCATGCTCTTTGCATGGTTGCATGTAGTTGGTGTATTCTGTCGCCCAGACGGGATAGCGCGGCTCGTCCATCGTCTCAATTTGTGGCAGGTCTCGGAACTGATGAGCGTCCATGGCTGATGCTCAGTCGTTGCACAGAACCGGGCAGGGGTAGCGATAGCGACTAAGTATCGCACGGCACTTAGAAGCCAAAGAGTATGGGGGAATGCGAGTGCCGTAGAAGTTCGACAGATACAAAGATCTTCTGTTTGTAGAATCTTGCTGAGCAGGCGAAAACAGTCCTTCACGTAGACGAGTGGTCAAGGTATCTCGATGTCGTAGTTCTGCCGGCCAGAAGTGACCCAAGTACAGGGACTGGGAAAGGAGGCAAAAGAGGCGGAGCGTCAAGTGGGGGGTGTGACAGACCAAGGCAGCAAAGCAGAAAAGCTAGTGTCAAGTTGCACTGCCGTAATCTTTCGTACCGTCTTTCTGTCCCTCGATGCCATGCTCTACAGTGTTTTATGGTGTTTGAGCCGCAGAGCCGCATTGTCAGCCACCCAATGAGAGCCCTTGTGCCTTGGCAATATGTACTCCCCTGTTCTCAGCTTGACCGGTGGGCCGCAGTGCACAGTTGTCCAGCCACCACTGCGCTGTACGTGAACTCTAGCACCTACCACCGACGGGTAGGTTCAAGCCCCAGGATTAAGCCCCTAATCAAAAGCAATCTTGCTAGTACTGAGCGGATCGCTACCCCATCGCGATGCGTCCAAGCCAACTTTTGTGCCAGAGCTGCTTCCGCGGGCTGCACGTTCGCTAAGCTGTGGGAAGGACGAAGCGAGACCATGTGGACGTGAGCTGTGAGGATGCTAATCGCGGACCCACCAGTTTGAGCGTTGGGGGCCAAAACAAATAAGGAGATGAACGACAAAATGCAAAGACCCAAAGAACGGATCACATACCTTTGAGTATCGTTGTTTCTGTTAGGAGGCCGGACAGAAAAACCAGTAGTAAGTTGCTGTTGTGCTACCGCACCTGCGCCAGGGACGTGATTGTTCCGACAGCTGCCGCGCAACCGGAACGCTGATGAGAGGCCCAGGTCCCGATCAAGAGCAGAAAGCCGTCGTCGGTCGGAGGGTGCAGTATCACAGACTCTCATTGGAAGTCGCTGCATAGTGGCTCACCAGCTGGGGCGCATTTGGCTCAGGACACTCGATTTAGGCATCAAGATAGGGCGAAGCATGGTTTCCCTGTCGAAGTAGTTGTCGTACGTTGCTGGAAGGCAGCATCATGGCACTAATGATGATGCTATCATGCCATGAGTGGCAGTAGAGATAGCGAGCGGGTGCGCCTGGGCTGTTTCGACGGCTGTATGCACCCTACAGTCCATTCGTGTTGTCGCCTCACGGCTCAGGCATCAAGCTCGATCCGCAAAGGGGTTTGGTCGGCAAGAGCTCCCAGTGTCTTGGGCTTTCCGGGCGCATTTGGGGGCGGTGCGTCCCGTGTCTCTGGTGATGGAGACTGGCGAGTGGTGGCGCGGAACTGTAGGTGGATTAGAAGGACTCGACGCTTGTGCGCCGTCGCAAGTCGAGAACAGCCCACTCGGATGACTTTGCGCTGCCCCTGCGTCGGCGCGGGGGTGAGACGACGTGACTATCTTCGCAGCATGTTTGCTGTCAAAGTGTCAAAACATTATCCGGCGGCTCTGCGCAGGGATTGAAAGATGTTCGAAGGTCTGGAAATAGCGAGACGCAGGAGATGCACCGCTCTTGGCACGGTATCCCCGCACATGGCTTGCCAGCCACATGGCCATGGCTGACCGCAAAGGCCGTACGAATGGGATAAGATGATGGTCATAGAAATTAGCTATCTCGTGCCGGTCGTCTGTATCGGGGGTCTTTGCGCAAAGTCAACGCGGGATACTAGCTTTGTGGGCCCTTTCTAGATATCTATGAACGCCATGGCGGTGCTATGGCCAGCAACTGATGCTCTGTGTCGGCATCATGCTCCAAGTTTGGCAACAAGGCGGTCCTCAATACCCTCCAATATCCATCGATGCTCTAGCACCTCCAGATTCTCGGCTTCGTTGAGAAATAGCTTATCCGGATCCTGCTCAGGACCCATCATGCCGCCCGCACCTGGGTTGGCCATGGCCATCTGCTGAGAGACTTGGTTGGCAGCTTTAAATAACACTGTTAGCTTGACTGACTTGACCTGAGTAGGCAAATGCTCTTCCCGACATACCATTGTTGTTCCCCAGAATGAAGTTATAGACGGGCTGGAGCCCGAACAAAGTCAGGAAATACCATGACAAACTAGACACCCATCTGACGTCCAGGTCGCGCGTGCCAACTCCAGATTGCAGCATAGACTTGAATTGTGGGGTCAACGGGAAGGGTAGTTTCACTGTGCATATCGGTTAGCAACAGATCAGATTTGCTTTTACAGCTCGGGAGCAGCCGAATGTCAGAATATGCCGACTAAACGCGCCAACTAGTCGCAAACATCATGCCGACGCATACAAGAGACCAGCCACTCGCTTCGCCCTAGAAGATAGCGCATGTAGGAACTGCTTCAGAGCCAGGCAAAGCGAAAGGCCACGCAACATGTACTCCGGCATCGCCATCCGACCAACGAACACAGAAATATTCAGGCTCGCTTGGCTCCATGTGAGACTCGGTCCTGTCGTCTGAAGGATTTCGGGATGCAAGAATACTCTTGATCGCGAGCCGCTTTCCCCTAGGGTGCAGGAGTATTTATGGAAAGGCAGACTTACTGATAACAAAGCCAGAGAAGAAGGCATTGATCCATCCCATGATCAGAGTCTGTGGGATCATCATCGTCATCTGCCCCTTCATCATGCCCATCATGCCTTCCATCGCCGCAGGATCACTCATAGGATTCGGTCTGGGTTTCCCCCTCAGCTCCGGCTCAGCCAAAAACTTTCCTTCCTGGTAGGCCTGCACCATGTAGGCTTTACGGGTCGCGAAGGATCCGGGCGAGAGGACCTGGGCATTCGTGCGCAGGTTGACGCCGCGCACGAGGGAGCGCTGTTGCCGGATCTTGGCGAGGTCGTGTTTCTTCGGGGTCGACTGGAGGAGCGTCATTGCGTAATGACGGAGGATGCCTGTCAAGACCTGGATGTATGTTAGCATCTTGCATATTCAAAAGAATTGAGTGCACTGTACCATGACCACCGTAATGGGGAGCAGAATCCACCAACTGTAGAATTATCAGCCATCTTCGTCATGTACCCGCAAACACCAGAACATACAACAGGGCGGGATCCCGATGGATGGTCTGAACTACAGGCTGTCCCATGGTGCCGGTAGTAGAGAGAGATGCGCGGAATGCGGAGGGGGTGTGGGAGGGTGAAGGTCGGTGGTGGTGGTTGTTGCTCGACGATGATAGCTCGCCGCTGAGGCTCCGGCGGGATGTTGTGAGACCAGGGTCCGCGCTTTGCGCTTATGGAAAGGTGTCCAAAGCTACATCACCAACTGCGCAACGAGCCCCAGGCTTCACGACTACCTCTGCTCTCGTCGTGATTACAGGAACCATACAACTACAACTTCACGATGTCGGCAACACAGAAAATCGCAGTCCACTCCCTCGCCGGTATGCTTCCATTCCCGCCATCGCAACCATCTATGCATTCGCCTACAGACCATATCTAATACTCGCGATCAGACCTCAAGAACACGACCGACGACGCCCTTCCCAACTACCTCAACAGCCTCAAGTTCAAGCAGATCCACACACAGACCGATGTGCGGTTAGTCCTCGGCTACACGGCCGTCACCATCGCCGGCGCACTCTTCTACTACGACTGGAAGTTCGGCTGGGAGGCCAGCAAGCCCTACACACTGCCTGCTGTCGTCGCATACTTTCTGTTGAATACCGCATTCAGCTATTGGCTATGGTTCGTGGAGAAGGGTGTAGTGTATGAGGGAGAGGGCAAGACAGGCCGGGTTCGTTCACATGTCCCATTTCCGTACCTGTGTGTTAAACAATACTGACAACATCAAGGTGAGGATATCGTCCTCCACAAAGAAGCACATCCCAATCTACGAGTGCGACGTCGTCTTCACACCCGCCCCATACGCCTCGAATCCCAAACAAACGATCCACATCCGCGCGCCCCTGACCCGGTGGTTTACCTCGGATGGCTACTTTGTCGCGAAACCCTTCCAGCAATGGCTCGCTTCTGAAGTGCCCGTGATCGGCGCTGCGGACCCCAACAACGTGGTAGAGGAGATTGGTCGCGGAAGTGCGGGCATGGACCAGACGATGAACCTGAACAGCTCGAATGCGGTGGACATCTTGCAGCAGCTCAAAGCAAGTGGTGCCAAGTTCGCGAGTGGAGATGCTCAGAGAAGGCGGTAGAGGATCATATAAGGGTGGTTGGGGCTCAGGAAGGAAAGTAGACTGGCGTTAAGGTGTCGACAGCTTTATATGGACCATCTTGCTTTCAAGGAACGGCAAAAGCGTCACAATGGTTTGGCGGAGCATGGAAAAGGCCTTTCTTTGCTGCGAACGTCATTTTCGCTATCTAGGAATACTATGCAATGGCTAAGCTATGTTAAACGCCAACAAATGCCCATGAAACCGACCTCTTGGTCGTTTCCTACTATCCAATTTGGCCCTCCTAAATGGCCTAATCCTATGACATCTCCTGCTCAAGCATGGGCAATACTTCAAGCTCCCTCTGAATAATTCTCTCAAACTCTTCCCTGTCTATGCCCGATGCTCTCGCCAACCGGAACAGGCTCTTGATATCCGTGCTGATATGTTGCTTGATCGCAAGCTCGGCCTGGCTGTAGTTCTCTGCCTTTCGCTCTAGCCTCTCGACCGAGTTGGTCGATGCCGAAGAAGAGGGTCGGGGGTGGCTCAGGGCGTTTGCGGTAGCGCCTTGGTCCTGCTCAATGGACTCGAGATGTACCGCGCTGTCGTTGCCATGAACGCCGCTGCCGTTCAGGAGACCGCTTGTGTATGCCGGTGGCATCGACGAGTCGTAGCCGTTCGGGCCCAGGTTCGTTGTGTCGAGGGGCTCGGTCTGCGGTTCGCGCGTGTAACTGAGAGCGTTGCCATTGAGTGTCGACTCGCCAGCTGCGGGCTCCTCTTCGTCTGGGTCGTGCGCATCCAGCGCTGGCTGCACTTCCGACGCGTAGCGCTCGAAGTACTCGAGCTCTGACTGCGACGGCCCGATCTGCGTTCGACCGCTGGTTCCTGGCGCAGGGGATCGCCTAGGCTGTGGTGTTCGCCCGGGCGTCTGGTCGTATGCAGCCCAGTAAGAACCGTCGTCCTCTTCTTCTGCTTCCTCCGCAGCGGGTTCGGGTTGGACCACGGCTTGGTACGGTGCGACGCCGTTGCTCTTGACCGACACAGACTTTCGCCTGAAGCCAGCCTCGTCAGCAGTGGGAACGTTCTCGAACCACTCGGTGCCGTCGTCAGCGTCTTCTGTTCCTCTCAGCTCAGCCAGTAGCCAGCGGCTTCCGCCTTCTCCACCAGTGCACCAGAGGTATGTTGGGATGATTCCATATTCACCCAGTATCAACTTGGCGTGTAGGGTCTCGGGGTCTGATCGTCGGTACAGTATCTGATCTGGTTCCTCCACTTCAATCTCCCCGGAAGCTGGGTGAGGTTCGACATTTATCTTCTCGATGATTTGCGGTAGTCGTGACGCGATGTCTCGGTCCCAGCACAACAGCGACAACCACTCGTTGGAAGACAGAAGCTGTACACGTTGGCGGAGGATAGGCGATAGGAGGGGTAGAAGACCCGGAGGTACGTCTTTAGAGGCATTTGCTGTCGACAGACAGGCCAGCAGTGGTGGGAGCAGTTCCCTGCAATCGGGCCGTGGGATGATTTCGTTGAGCCCAGGCATGGCAGCGGTGTGCGAATGTAAGTTGGGTATGGTGTGAAAGGTTGATCGCGCTGATTATGCCCACTCGAGAATACAAGGAGCGTCTAGTATCTGGTACTGCGATCGTAGAGTCGATTGCTCCTAAGAAAGACGCCGTAATAGACAAGCCTAGGACGTTTCGTAGGCTTTGTGCTTTTCGCGTCTTTATTGTTTTGCAGAAGCCCGTACACTTCAGGCGCTTGCCGCTAGCACAGTACTGTTAGGTGTTGTGCAACGCTCCAACGCTCTGTGGTGCTGTTCGTGCTGCGTGTAGGGTGCGGGCTCCGTCTGGTGATGCTGTCACATGCGAATGTGGCCAGTGACGCGCAGAAATTCGCTGACGCAGATGCGGGGAAGAGAGGAAGCGATAATTGGCAGACTGTAAGATGGAAGTGAAAAAGGAAGAGGAAGAAGAAGCGCTCTGAGGCACATCTCGTTCCATTTTCGCGTCCAGCGGTGCTGCAGAAAGAGTGGATGCTGCTGTTGTTAGCCTCCGCTCCACCGAAGGGTGACTGCCGTTAGACACACCGGTTGCGACTGCCCGCACGCCTGGATCGCGACCATGGAAATGGTTAGCCCCATCTCCGAGCCTCATCAATCAGACACACTCTACATCCCATGCCCCGATGCGTCCAGAGCTCGCGGACTTTCTTCGACAAAGATTCCAAGGCTCGCAAGAAATTATTCCGTCGCCTTGAGGGTGCTTTTGCCGTTCCTGGCCTCACCATTGCGAGGTAGGGTAAGCAGACATCTGCAGTACATGTTCGGTACATCCTCCCTGCACAAGCACTTCGATACCTAGGTACGCTCTATCTCACGATGGCATCAAAAGTCCGTAGAAGAGGCCTGCAGTGACGTCAGCTCTTGCGATCGCCAGCCCTGGATCGACACAACATCTGCACAAGACCCTCATTCCGGGTACCTTACATGTTCCGGTAGTAGTACTCGAAAAGCTGTTGTGACATCCATAGCCTGGCTCGGATCTTCTGCCTGCGGCTGCGTCTCACCTGGCGCCGGCATGCCAACTCGCCTGCTATTTGAGCAATCTCGCGATGAGGACTATATGCATAGCCCGCTAGATCGAGCGGCGCGTTTCATGGCCACTGAAATCAGACCATTGCTGTCACTCGTGGCTTCGGCGTCTACCACAGTATGCGGCACTCGCAGCTATATATCACAACCTATGAGTGCGGCGCACTATACATGTATCGTTTCCAGGCGAAGCGATCCTGCCATTTCCGCCATACTACTCGCCCGCAGCGATATGACAGCATAGTTCTCGACACCTAGCCTAGATCAAGGTAGTGTACGCTGAAGACAGCAGGTCGATGTGCTCCTTCGCCATATTCCCGTGAGCCCCACAACAGCCCGGGAGACCATCCGGCTTCGCTCATAATCCAAAACTGGGGCCAGCCACTACCTTATCCGCTTGCGACGTGGCTAGGAAAGCTTCATCTCTAGGCGTGGCTGAATCGCTGATCATGCAAGGCAGTCCATGCTACTATATGCCGTCACATCGCGACATTCGCAAATCAGCGACGCGAACAGCAGCGCAACCTCGTCCGTGTTGTCCATCGCACGCGTCTGATTACTAGCAGGCTTGCTACATCGCTGGTATGCTCTCCAGAAGAGCAGTTCTAGGCTTGGCCTGCCTTTATATAGCATCAGCGTTCGGCTGCTAAACAGCTAAGCGCCAGCCTACGCGGGCGCACAACAAAGGCCGCTGCATGTTTCGCACCTCGAGCGCGGTTTGGAGTGACCGCCTCAGTAGATTTTGATGACAGGAGTTACTACAAGCATCACGCATAGCAGGTTGAATTCGCCATGAGGATATCATCTTGAAGCATAGCCACCCGCTCGCCCCATGTTCAGCCCCCTGCTCCCGCTTCTGTATAGCAACTGAGGCTGTGCCGTTTGTATCAAGCCTGCCAAGAGCGTGTCACGCATCTGCAAATCTGCCTCGAGACGCCAGTCAAGCTCACAGCTACCGTCGCGCCGTCGCGCTTGTTTTCGGTCGTTCTGCCTCTTTCTCACGACCTCATAGACATCTGGACTGCCTGCGCCCACACTGTTTCGAGACGGCGAACTTCTGCTTGGCGTGCATCGCTCTACCCCGGTCTTACCATTCTGGAGATCTTGGGGGGAATCAGCCTTGACCGGTGCCTCGACTTTCGCTCGTTGCTGCCGCTGGCTCCACCGTCGACGTCGAATTCCACTCTGTTTCTACCAACCATCCGCGCACTTTACGCCGCTTCTCTGTTGTTCGCGCGCGCCGTTTCCCGATTTCGCTCGCGACCCACCCTGAAGCTGTCAACATCGTAGAGTGCCGGCACTGCCTCTAGCCTCAACGGCTCCAAACTTCCGTCCTGTGCGAGGCAGATCGCCATCCAGCTTCAAGCTACAGCAGCCTGTCCTCTTTCGCTTTCAGCCGCACTGCGATATTTCTCTCCCTCGTTCCGCCATCCCACCAACCTATCTGGGTAACTGGACGCGCTGCGACACTTTCTCCTCATCTGGTTTTCTGACTTTCGCAATATTCAACATCAGTAACCTTCAGGCAGCACTATGCCGCCCTAAGCAGCGCTGGTTACAGTCACGTTACCCTCCACACCACTTGCCGGTCGCAATCATTTGTTAATCGTCGCGACCTGATCTACTATCGACTCCACTTTCAGGTTGTTCCTTACAGCCAAAGTAATCATGCAAGCAGTCGATACGCATACACAGCCCTACCAGGACCCTCGGCGTCAGCCACGCCACCCTCAGGATGTGCAGACTAGCGGCTATCAACTTGCGCCTACTGGCGGCAACTTCCTAATGCCAGACGCGCAAGGCACATTCACGTACTCTGCAGAGCCGACATCCATGGTTTACGATGGGTCCATGGTATCGCTTCCCTCATCCAGCACCCCTGGGCAGGAATCCATCTTCACTCCTAACGTTGGATCCTCTCTCGACTCCTCATTACATCCGGACATGTCATATCCACCACCGAATGCCTACAATCAAGTTCAAAACTACGGTCTTTCTCCGGGATCCTACTACGGAAACGGACAGAACATCTCGCCCTCGCATTCAGTTGAGCATTTTAGCCCAGAAACAGGTTACATGAGCGATCCCAGTCACCACGATCTCAGCGCTTATGCAACACCAAATTTCAATGGACACGTTCTCGATGAATTCTCTGGCCTGACTTTTGCCGATAACGGTTCGGCCAGTAATTTTCCGGCATTCCAAGAGCATGTTGACATGTCAGCCTTGACCTCAGGGACGCTGAACACGTACAACGCTCAGCCAAGCAACCACCTCAGTAACACTTCGCTAAACCCGCACCATCAATTAATGTCGCCCAGTGCGACGAACAATTCCAGTCCGGCACTAGGCGATGAGAGCTCAGCCTTCCCCTCTATGCAGTACAACGGGAACATGTCGACGCCGCCAAACCAGGCGAATCATCTACCGCATACAACACCTATCAAGC